CCCAGTGAAAACTGTATGCACCTTCAACGCTTGCCCATCCCCCCCATCTCCAACTCTTCCCGGCCTCTTGTTCAGGTTTTAAAGACCCCTCTTACGTCAGCAGGGCTGAGGGCAGGGAGGGGGGCAAGACTAGACTCATTTCCACCAAGCCCTGGATGATAAATGAGAACAGCAGGTGACAGAATCCCCAGCAATATAGGGGATTCCTCAGCAATCTTTATTCCAACCACCCTGCCGGCCACACGAGGAAACCTAGGTGGAGCAGGGCGGAGGGCTTTCCGAGGCCAGCCATTGGTCAAGGGGGCCATGTCATTTGAACTCCACCAGCTCATTACTCAGCCTGCATGATGGTTGTTATTCACGCCGTGTTTTACCCGGCTAACTGCTCAGCCGTCTGGAAAATCCTGTGTTGCTTCTTTGGACCCCATGGTCATCAAAGAAAATGTCTTTGGCCCATGGAACAATGTGAATCTTTCTGAATCTGCAGGAGGCAGAATGGAGAGGTGGAGGGAGCTAAGGGCTTTGGAAGCCCCGATGGGGCTAGAATCTTCACTCAGCTTAAGAATCCGTGCCCACCGGGCCCCTCCCCTGGACAGCCCAGTTTCCTCCCCTGTAAGGTGGGGCTGTAGACCACACTCGCAGGACGGCTGGGAGAATCAACTGGGATACTGCCCACGAGGCACCCAGCCCTGTGTGTGTCCTCTCCTAACCCCCATGATTCTCCATGTCTTCATTCCCAGACCGGTCAGTGCTCATTAAGCTAAACCGGTCAGTGTTAATGTCTAGCCCCACAGAAGGCCGTGGGCAACTTAAATAACATATGGATGCCTTTCCAAGTGTTCTGAGCCTCCGTCTTGGGAAGCTTTGCTCTGAAGCTGGATTGCAGTCTTCTCATTTCGTGCTCTGGTGAATGTGGATCTTTTTACTTGGAGCATATATTTTGGAATATGTGTGTGCCAAGGGTCATCACAGTGTCTTCAGCCCAAGTCCGGTTCCTTGTGGGATAGTTAGTTAACAGTCAGGAAAGCTAAACTGGTCAGTATTAATGTCTGACCCTACCAGAAATAGCCAGTAGCATCTGAGGATGAAAAATGAATGAAATATCTCCAGGAAACAGTCTGGCTTAATTATTTTTGAAAATATAACTTTTCCTCCTTTCTCTGCTGCTCTAGATGTTGCTTTTACATAGGACCAGAAAATGGAAATTTTCACAGCTAAATCGTGTGTGTGTTTCCTCTGATCCAACAGAGCTAACCTATTCGTAGCAAATAACATTATAATATTAATAAATTTAAAAAAAGACAGAACATTCTTTTGGGGGGCGAGGCATGAACACGTGCAGCTTAATGTGTAGGGGGGTGGGGCACAGCACTGAATTCTTGGTGGGGAGGGGGCCGGATGCCATTCTCTTCTTTTCTCAGGAAAGCCTGAAGGTGAACTTTGCCTAGGGGTAAACACTTCCCCTTCCTCATTCTCCAAACCAGCTTCCCCTCTGGCTCCTCCACAGCCCTCCTCCTCCTCCCAGCTTGGGGGAGAGAGCCCTGTGGTGGAAGGGGCGAGGCAAGGGCGCTCAGGTCACAGGAGGGAGGCTGGGGGTCCCTCTGGACCACCTGCTCCTCCTCATCCAGGTTCCTCTTCAGTGGGATGCCTGCATATCCTGCTGTAAGGGGCCGGTCTTGAGAGCAGATGAAAGGGAGAAGGCCGTCAATGTTTTCGCAACGGAGTAGGACAAACAGTACCCAGAGCCCTGCTTCTTTCTCCCCGTAGCCAGCCTGCTACGTCAGGCCACGCGCTGCCTTCCCCTGTTCCCGGGGCCCCAGGCCCCCCTCCTCGTCTTCCCTTTCCTTTCCTGGCTGAGCTGCCTTGCTCAGCTGATGGGATGAGGCAGTGTCTCCTGGAGCCATCCCTTCACCCTGTGCAGGAGTGAGGATGCTCCTCTGGGCTTGGCCTGCGCCCTGCAGGGTTGAGGAGAAACTTAACCAGGAGGCTGGGGACAGAGCAGAGTGCCCCTACTTCCTCCCAAACCAAGAGGGCCTTGAGGGGCATGCGCACAGCTGACGTGGAGCTGCCTGGGGCCCCAGGGCAGCCCTGGCTCAAAGCAGCCGTCCCTCCCTTTCCCACTCCAGACCTATTTCCTACCCGGGACAGAACCAGCACCTTGTTTGTCCCCTAACTGACTGCTCCTCTGTCTGGAAAATCTTTTCTTGTTTTATTTGAAGAGCAGAACTGTTCCTTCCTCCCCCTTGGTGATGAGGAAACATTCTGTTGAATTTGGCATCCTCAGCTTCTAGGAGACCTTGGTTGTTTGTAATTTGATGCTATCAGGTTGTTGCATAAGCTTTCCCACTGGGAAGCAGGCTCCGCATCCTGGGCCTTCTGTTCTGCTTGGGGCAGGGGGTGGGTGGAGAAAGGTCAGAGGTGGGGCTGGGTGAGGGAGAGAGAGACATGGGATGTTGGCTCTTGGCCCTGGCAGAGGGGAAGGGGGTGGGCAGGGCCAGCTGGTGGGGACCCAGTAGAAGTCAAATAGTGTCTCCTTCTGGGACATTGGCCACCCGGCTTGGAATGTCCCCATCACTGCGCTCAAGGCCACCCCAGGCCAGCCAGAGTCCTCGCTCCAAACAGGGGCTGGTCTGCCCTATGTTTCTAGAAAACTAGTATGCTGTGGGTATCCTTGGCAAGGACATGTATTTATATTTAGAAACGGAGCCTGCTTCTTTAGAAGGTTATAGAATGCACGCTGCTCAGGACAGGCCTGTCCTTCTACCCAAGTCACAAATACAAATGCCAGGCAGGTAATATAAACGAATGCATGTTTGTTTTCCTAAGCTGTGGGCAGTGTTAGGGATTCAGTAAACTGGAGAGAGGGCCCTGTCTATTCAAAATTAGTTCAGAAAACACTGTTCGTGCCAAACCCAACTCTCAGAGGGCCGGATTTAGTGTGTGATCTGCCAACTTGCAACTTCTGCTGTTTTTCTCTCTCTAGGTAGTTTTGTTTGTTTGCTTGTTTTTGGTTTTTTGAGCTTTTTTGGATGGCATTTGTTGGGCACTTCCGGCAGGCACTATGCCAATGGAGCTGGCTCAGGACTTTATATACATTATCTTTTTTTTAAGATTTTATTTATTTGAGAGAGAGCACGTGAGAGAGAGAGAGAGAGAGTGCATGAGCAGGGGGGAGGGCAGAGGGAGAAGCAGGCTCCCCGCTGAGCAGGGAGCTCCATGGGGAACTCGATCCTGGGGCCCTGGGATCATGACCTGAGCCGAAGGCAGCCGCTTAACCGCCTGAGCCACCCAGGCGCCCTATATGCATTATCTTATGTAACCCACCACCCCATGAGATAGGTGCAGTCATTTTTCCCCTTCACAGCTGAGGAGATCGAGTCTGAGGGAGGTTAAGAATTCTGTCCAAGGCCACACGTTGAGAAGGGAAGGGCACCCAGACCTGCCTGACTCCAAAGGCATCCTCATCTTCCTACTTCCCTCGCTAATATTTCGCAAACTCCGGTCCTCAGACCACTGGCATCAGAATCACCTAGAATCAGAGCCCCACCCTAGACTTATTAAGTTAGAATCTCTGGGGGCCCTTCCGGTGCTTCTTTTGTACTGAGAACTTTGTGAACCTCCTTATTTGCCAGGCTGCCTTCGTGACTCAGTGAAGCATGGCAGGGTGTCCTTCCTGGGAAAGACCTCTACTCTGCAGCGCACGGGGCGGGGGGGGGGGGGTGGGAGTGGGGGTGAGTCTTCTTCGGCCTTCCCTGTCCTCAGTGCATCATGGAATGCCACCTCACTTCCGCAGCCAGGGAAGAAGAAGAAAGCAAATTCATGAATCATGGTTCTGTTTATGTTTTGGTTGCTGAGGCTAAATATTTATTGCTTTAAGTAAGAGGTTCTGCCTTAATTAGAGTCATAACTAACCACAAGTGCACTAGAATGTGTTCTCAGGCCCATAAGGCATGCATTTCTCCGTAGAAAGCCAAATGTCACGAACACTTGTAATGTGCCCCTGCCACTGATCAAAGTATTAAGGTTTATCTGAAGTGACGAATTGCTTTTGAAATCAAAAAGTGCGCAGAAGTTTAATTTGAAATCAAAACGTGCATAGAAGTTCAATTTATGGACTTAGCTATTATTCTTACTTCTGTAACTAATAGGCTTACATTTATGATCCTACAGCATAAAGGTATAAAGGTGTGGGCAATATAAAACTTACACTTAGGGGCGCCTGGCTGGCTCAGTCGGTTAAGCGGTTAAGTGTCTGCCTTCGGCTCAGGTCATGATCCCAGAGTCCTGGGATGGAGCTCCACATCAGGCTCCCCGCTCTGTGGGGAGTCTACTTCTCCCTCTCCCTCTGCCCCTCCCCCTGCTCGTGCTCTCTCTATCTCAAATAGATAAATAAAATCTTTTTTAAAAAACCCAAAAATTTATGCTTGAAAGGAGATAAGCCACATCTAATTTTGAAACGCACTGTGTCCACTTCCTGATTTTGCCCCTTACCCTCCTTGCCCTTGTCCTAGATGGGCTCTCTCCACATTAAGTCACCAGGAGAGCTTTAGAAGATATTAATGTCTAGGTACCATCCCAGGCAAATTAAGTCATAATTTCTGGCAAAGGAAACTTGGCCTGGGTATTTTTTAGAAGCCCCCCTAGGGGTCCTAATATGCATTCAGGGATGGGTGGGAGCCACTGTCCTAGCATAATGGGTCAGGGGCTGGCTCTGTCGTTAGACCTGGATTCAAATCCTGGCTCTGGCATTTGCTAGCTGTGTGACCTTTGGCAAATGACTTAACCTCTCTGAGCTTCGGTTTCTACATCTAAAAAATGGGGATAATCGTGCCTAGCTTGCAAGGTTGTCATTAGGATTAAATGAGATAATGCAGGGACGCACTTAGCATTACGCTTAGAGGTACTTTAACTTGGTACTTAGGGAGGGCTCAATAAATGGGAGATATTATTGTTACTGTAATTACTCTGTTTCACTCAGAATGAGTTTCCATTAGTGGGAGCAGGTATCACTGCAGAGTACTGGGGGACCAGGAGCAGCTATCCTGGGACTCAGCCTTAGCTAGTGCAGATAAACTGAAACAAACACTGTTAGATGTTTCTGATAATCAGATGCCACAACTCTGGGGACCCACCGAGGATGCTAGTGGAATCTTTTTAAAGTTTGTCCACCTGGCAGGGCCAGTGACATACTTGGATTTAGAGCAAGACAATTCCACGATGAGGGGGATTTAAGAAAAAAATGGTTTTAATTGAAGTGTAATTCACATACCGTGTTCTATTAGTCTCAGGTGTACAATGTCATGATTCAACAAGGTGGATCTTTTTTATAATTGCTTACTCACACTCTGGACTCCTTTAAGATAAAATTCCGCTATAGGAGGAGGTCTGTGGGCCCAGCTGGAATATGTAGTTGCGTCTTCCTGTTAAAGCCAGAAGTCACAGTGCAGACATCACTGGCTGGCCAGTCCTGATGACCCAGAGGGGACTCGCTCCTCAAGTGGCCATACACAGCCATCCTCTTTCTCTTAACTCCAGAATCTTTCCACGTGGACTGTCCACTCTGTTGACACACACACTTTTTATAGCTGGCTGGATTCCTCCTCATCCCTCCAGCTTTCAACCCGCTGCTGAAATAAGGCAAACGTATCGAACAATTTTTTTTCTCTGAAAACCGAATTAGGAAAATCAGTTGCCTGAAAAAGAGCAACACGAGAGGTCATGGCACACAACAGGACCCCTACAACACAACCCCTAGTGGTGAAGGTCAATTAGCAAAAGTATTAAGGAGGCGCTAGTGTGTTCTTCTGGAAACATGCTGGAGGCAGAGACCCAGCCCTGGTGCCCCAGGCCCCCCCCCCCCCCCCCCTGCCCCCCCCCCCCCCCCCCCCCCACTGTGCCTTCCCTCGATCCTGCCTCCCACATGACTGTCCTTGGAACTCTGGGCTTGCTTCTTCCAACTGGAGGCTTCACTTGTCCTTCGCATCTGGCCTCAGAGATGAAGAGAGTCTGTTCGAATTTTGTGCAGTGTAGATATGCAAAAAACAGGCTCCCTATTTTCACCCATCCATCCCCCCGCCCAGCTTCCATACAGATGCCCGTCTCTGGGTGTGGGGGTGGTAGAATTATCTGCAGGGCTCTAGCACGTGCAATCGGGGATGCTTCCTCTCTGCTCTTTGGCCTTGAGCTGTAGCATGAGTTATGCATTCCAAAGCCACGTGGGAGTGCGGTTCAGGCTTGCTGCAGCTCTGGATTCCCTGTTCCATGTGCGTGAAAAATTGAAAGTGGGCTCTGTACGTCTTTATGGGAAGGGCGGCTCTCGATAGAGAGCCAAGCGCTTCCCATTCAGCCTGCCCAACTCCACTTGGTCTTGAGAGTCCCACACCCCAGAGCATAAACAGTCCATAGACGTGAGTTGTTTTATGTTTTGTTTCTTACTTCAACACTTGGGGGACTCCAAAGCTGGTTATGAGAAAATCCTAAGAATGCCGAGCATTTCCGGTGGGGTGTGCTGGGCCAGGGACATCAAAGGTTCTGTTTGCAGCTGTGTGAGTACAGAGCGACAGACGCCCGGGTCTTGTAGCCCCCCTCCCGCCCGTCATCACTGCTTTCCTATTCGCGCCAGCCAAACATGGGGAAGTTGCATGACCGCGATATGTGTGAGCCACATACAGCGTTTGCCTTGGAAGGGCTTTCTACACGCTAACTTTGTGGAATCCTTGGCTCATCTAGGATGAGGGTGGGGTGTGTGTGGGAGTGGTGGGGATGGTCATGGTTAATTCAATGCTACATGAATTCAGGATGTTTCCATAAAACATGACCTCATCTCCTCCAGCCCGCTGGTCATCGTTATATTGGTGGTCACTTTTGACTTCGTGGTTACGAAAATAATTCCTTTAATTACCAAAGTGGAAATTCATAGATTGCACATAGATTGTTCTTACCCGACCCAGGAGCCCCCCCCGCCAAGAGGCAAGAGGTCCGAGCTATTACTAATGCTGTCTCCACAACACAAGAATGACTCATTAACTCAAAAGAAAAACAAAACGAAGTGAAGCAAAAACCAAAATACAACAATAAAGTCCATGCCAGATCAGTTGTTGGGCGTTGAGCAGATCAAATAGCTGGGGGAGTTTCAGCCTTTGTCTCTTTTCAAATAATTGTCTTTTTTTTTTTTTTTTTTAATTCTAAACAGTCACATTATGATCAGTAGGAAGAAAAGTCATTTTTATTCAACCTGTTTGTTAAATATGTACTATGTCCTGGGTGTATGAGACTGATGGAGTCTCATGGTGTGGAGCTATACCATCAGCAAGTCAATGAACAAACCAGACAATTCAAAGTATTAGAATTGTCATGAAGAAAATAAAGTGACATGGTTCAATAGAGAGTGACAGGAGCAACTGTTTACCTATGTTGAATCCAGGAAAATAAGAGCATGGAATGCGAGATGTGAGCTAGAGCGGTAAAAAGAGCTGGTTATAAAAGAAGTCCTTCCTTTGTGGGAGTGATCCGAGACTCTCAGGATGCCTTTAGGAAAGGACTGTGGTTCCGGAGAACCGACTGTATGTGTCCCGTCACAGGGGGAAGTCCGGCCAAGCAGACCACGTGGGAAGCAGGGCACCGGGTCCCCGCTCTGGCTTACTGGCCCGGCAGAGTTCCCGTCAATGTCACCAGCACCGCCCTGTTAAGGTAGGAGACCCAAACTCTCTTGACACGTTGGGATGCAGAGCAAGAAAATCATGGACAGACGCCTCAGTGGTAGATACCTCGAGAAGAGCGGCCTCCCCGGCCACCTGCCTTGGCCGGGTGCTCCCAGGTACCCCCAGAGCTCTGAGTGCCACAGCTCCGATCTCCCGGTGCTAGTTAAAGCTGCAGTGGCTCTTTTCAGGCCGTCCTCTGGGGATCATGTTGGAGTGAAGAGGGGACTCGGTGGGTTTCGTGGTCTTGATGCCGAGCCAGGGCGGTGTCTGCTGACACTGCGGGGGCAGAGAGGTTCACAGCCGCATCTCCCCTTTGGGTCTGGGCTCAGCCGAAGGGAGGGAATAGACCACTGAAGCCATTCCATCCTCGGGGGTAGGGCAGGTGGCCGCAGGGCGCCCGTGTGAAGCCAGCGTGTCCCCAGCCATCACGGAATCTAGGTGTCCACCTGCCCTGGAGGGGGAGGGAGAAGGAGGTGGCCCCACCAGGCTGGCAAGGAAAGAATGAACTGTAGGTGAGGCCATTCCTACCTCTGGCAGGGAAGCTTCTCCAGTGAGGTGAGTTCACGGGCTGCTCCCTTAAATAGAAGGATGACTGTAAATAAGATCGTCTCCCTCCCTCGCCCTTATCTCCTTATGAAGGCAGATCCCAGAGCCTGAGTCTCCTTGGCATGGCCCGTGGCCATGCTGTGCCATTCTGAGAGGAGTTGCTTGCAGCTGTCTGTAACCGAGGCTTACAACGGGAACTTGCCACTCCTTCGGATGGGGACTTCCTCTCTGTGTTCTGCTCTGTGTTCACTGACAAGGGGGCCTGGGTGCTGCTCATGTGCTCAGAGCTTTTGGTCTGGTTAGAGACGGAATTGCTAGGCTCTTCCAATAGCCGAATGGGTTGTGGCCTAAGGAACACAGCCTCACAGAGGAAAACAAGTTTCCTGGGCTCCTTCCAGCATCCCCGGACCTGGTGGGGAGCGGTGAGAAAGACCGAAGCCCAGGGGAAAGCAAGGGTAAACAGCTCTGATGGCCGGGGTGGGGGGGAGGGGGGTAGGCGCCATCCCTGGCAGCCTGGGGGCCCCCAAGACTCCAGCTCAGCCCTGTACAATACAATCAGGAGGGGGCAGCCTGCTGTCAGGGGTGGGGGGGATGCCAGCAGGTGTGACAACAGCGTGGGCTGGAGTCTGATGTCAGGCTGGCCGGGAAGAGGGCCAGACGGGCTGCTTTTTATGGGGCTGACTTGGTGCAGTCGGGCCAAGTGTTCACAGGCTGGGCCGCACATGCACGAATTACTGGGCAGTCTCTCAAGTTCCGTCACCGAAAACCAAGCACGTGCTTCTCCTCTGAGAAGGGTTTTTGCACCTACAGTCAGCCACAGAGCCGCAAAAACAGCGCACCATCGCGTTAACGATTCAGGGCCTCAGAGGGGGCAACTGACTTAGGGAATAGTTTGGAGGCTGAAAAAAGCAAGTCTTGGCACAAGATAACATTTGTTTGGGGGCCCCTGGAGTTTTACCAGGACAAGACTGATAACACCCCATCAGCTCCCCATAGGATATTTTCTTGGGTGTTAAAGTTGACCTAGTTGTAGCAGGAAAGTTTGTCTCCATAGGATTCACCCCCTTGCTCTTTTCCTCCATGAGTCCATCCACGTAAAGCTAACTTGGGTGGAGTGTCCTTCCTGCCAGAGACACAGGGCCATCGTGTGCCTCTTCCATGACTCCTTCAGGGTCCGTTCTAAGGAGAAGAGACTTATGATCCGTTTTCAAGAAACTGATGAGAATACTTCATGTCCTTGGGTGCCCAGCCAGGAACTAGCACCCAGAGTGCTTAGCACCTCGGCTAGTACTTGATTCCTCGGGGGGGGATATAGATCTTCTTCCAGAACAGAGATAACTCCCCTGAGCCATTCAGACCTAAGGCCAGAGTTCCTTACACCTCAGTTCTGGTGGCCCTGAGCCATGATGAGAAGAGACAGGTTGATCTAAATACTCACATGAATACAGAAGAGTAAAGCGTGCGTTGGGGGCGGGGGACGAGGGACGAGGGGTGCAGACTAATTCCATTGGTTCCCTTTCAGAGACACTGTGAATGTTCCATTGCACACCCGTGTGACGAAACGAGGTCAAAGAAAGGTCTCACACATGTCCCGAACCCCAAAGCCCAGGGACACAATAACAGAGTGAGGGGAATTCCTTTATTCAACAAATATTTATGGTTGTGTCCAGCTGTGGGTCAAGCATTGCTCTAGGGACTGGGGATGGAGTAGTGAGCAAACCAGACAGAAAGATCCTGATGGTTAGGAGCTAACCCACCCTCAGGAGGGCAGGGCTTTGGCAGCGTCCGTCAAAGGGCCTGGTGGTTTGAACCTCAGGCTCTTAAGGCAGGACAGCTCAACCCTGGCAATGTTGATCATTCTCTGCTGTGGGGGACTATCCTGGGCATTGTAGGATGTCGAGTCATGTCCCTGGCCTCTACCCACTAGATGCCAATGGCCCCTCCACCACCAGTCGTGACAACCAAAGGGCCTCCAGGCAGCACCAGGTATGCCCGGGAAGGACAGACTCGTGCTGGTTGAGAACCACAGTTTTAATGTGATTTCTGGTGAAAAGAGGTGAAGCTTGTGCTCTGCATCTCTGAGCTGGGAGCCTGCCATCTCTGTTCAGAACAGAGCCTCAGAGATTCCTAGGCCAAGTACAAGGTGACCAGATCTCATTTGGAAAAACAGCTAGAGGTTCCGTTTAGCGGGGAGAGCAGATAGTCCCCTGGGGTGCCTGGTGGCTCTCTTGGGATACCCGAAGTGCTGTCAGTTGTGTGGGAGGATGATTCGCCTGCTTCTGTCCTGTCCTGAGGCCCAGTGCCGGAAGTCAAAGCTACAAGAACATCATGCTTACATCAGCGTCCTGTGGTTTAGGTGTCACCACGAGGGCAAGGTCTGGCCACACACCTCCTTTCAAAGTCCCCCACTCTTTCCCGTGGGCAGTGGGCGGTGGAGCGGGAGATGGGGAGGGGTCTCACACCCACCCCCGCTCCTAGCTGTGCTCTGCTAGGTAACGGATGTGCATGCTCTGTGGTGGGGGCTCCTGACACTCTGGGACCCCCGTGTTGCCTGGAAACAGTGCTGTGGGGTCTGCTTGCCTCTAAGAGGGACCTGGGACAAGGCCCTGGGGGAAGCTGCAGCCTCTCCACCATTCGCCAAGTGACTCAGGCCAGGAAGGGGTGTGTTCCTACTTTTTCCAGGGCTCGCAAGAGGGAATTACAACAGGAAGAAACTTGCAACTAAATGCTACAAGGAGCTGCCCCCACGTCCTAGGGACGGTTCCCACTCTCCTGCCACCTGGAGGAAGTTCTGCGGTTCCCTCCCTCTGCGTTCAGGCCCATGCACCCCCAATCCTTCCCTTGGCAGCCCCCTTGCCCTTCGCACTTCCTGTCTTCAGATCACACCGCCTTACCCCAGATACAATGTCCCCAGCTTCTAGGAAACTCTTCCCTTCCCAGCTCTTCCGTCTGCCCTGGGATGCTCTCTCCCCGGCATGGCCCAGCATGGCCCAGCCCTAGTTCCCATCCACACCTGTCCTTTGCTGCTGCTGGGCCACCTGGGCGAGCTCCTGGCAGCCCTTGTGCTCGGCTGGCCGGACCCCGCGGCGTCGTCCCCATCGCCGGCTCTCCGCGCCCAGATTCCTGTGGCAACACCTCGGAGAGGAACACAAGCACGCGCACTCCCTCTGGACAACTTTCAGTGCGCGGGCTGGCTGAGGCCATATGAAGAAAGAAAGAAGCTATTTTCATACGGGCAGCAGAACCTGCAAAGGTGGCCCCCTGCCCACTCTGATGGCAGCATTTTGGGTCACTGTGCAGAGAAAGCACAGGCCCAGGGAAGTGGGGTTTCCTCCCTCCAGAAGCCAGGGCCGACTTGTCCCTTAGGCCGGGGCAGGGGTGGGGGGCGGGGCCAGGCCCACGAGATTTTTAGGGATGCAGGAGATTTTTAATTTCTTCTAAAATCAGAAGGAGAAAAAAGAACTTTTAGGTTGAAGAAAATGGTTTAATATATACTGTTTCCCTATGCATCTTTCTGTCAACACAGTTGTGAACTCGAATTTTTAATATTTTGTATGGAAGACAGGGCCCACAAAGAGCCATCGAAAGTCAGAATGTGGCCCTGCCCAAAGCCTCCATCCCAAGTAGCATCAGCCGCAGAAACTTGAAAATGTAGGTTCTGGGTTTTTTTTACGTCTCTTTAAAGACTCTCAGGACCGGTTTCTTGGGTGGGGTTTTTTTTCTTTAATTTTTTTATTGTTATGTTAATCACCATACATTACATCATTAGTTTTTGATGTAGTGTTCCATGATTCATTGTTTGTGCATAACAC